CCTATTTTGGTGCAGGAATTATGCATCAACCTAATAACATCGTTTCATTTTTAAAAATTTGTAACTTTTTGCATTGTCGACGGAATTGCTTCTCTCTAATTTCATTCGAAAGAAGAAGTTTTCCTCTTTAGGAAGTAGGATTACCTTGGAAGCTTCTAATATGCCTCTTTGCAGAGGTATAAATGGAGAAAGAAGACCACTCAAGCTTCGATTATTTCAAGTTAGGCCGCCAAAGCCTGGGAAGTTGCGAAAAAATCTGAAAACATCAGCATAGGGGACATAAGACATGATCTTTGTAACTGTGAAATAACTGTGTTTTTGGACGTTTCTGCAAAAAGTTATGAATTTCGAGTCTACAAGAGAAAACGTCAAAATTGATTAAATTGTCACTTTTCTAAAATGTTCATAACTTTTCGCAGAAACGTCCAAACAGCGCAATTTTCAATTCAATCAATTTTGGCGTTTTCTATTATAGACTCGAAATTATAACTTTTCGCAGAAACGTCCAAACAGCACATTTTCTTCACAACTAGCAAGAGCATGTCATATTTCCCCTATACTGACGTTTTCAGATTTTTTCGCAACTTCCTAGGCTTTTGGCGACCTAACTTAGAATGACCGCGCTTGATTGATCTTGTTTCTCCATTTTTATCTCTGCAGAGAGTGCATGTTTAGAAGCTCTCAAGGTACCACTACAAAGAGGAAGACTTGTTCTTTCAAAAAATTAGAGCGAAGCAAATCCGTTCGAGAAGTTACAAATTTTCAAAAATGAAACGACATTACTTCCGGGACAACCCAATACATAACTTGGACCTGTTCAAAATATTCTCTAAAATTCTTAGCATTTTTTGGTGCAAGACTTATAGATCAACCTAAAGAAGTTTTTTCTATAATGTCAACAATCCACTGTTTACAAACAATAAACAGCGCCATCATTACCTTGAACAGTGTTAGAGCTTATAAGTTGAAAATATACAATCTTACATTCTAAGCTTACCGTGTATTTACCGTAGGCTGTCGAGTGCGGTAGTTCTGCGGTAAGAAGCAAACTTGCAAGAATTTCTGCAAATTCGCATAAGGGAAGCTTTGAACGACATCGATTTGCCTTATAATAGTCATTTATTTATTTATTCTTTACTCTAAGGCGTGCTACAAAAAACAAGATTAGACATAAAGCTGAGATATCACAATTCTGAAAAGAAAAATAAATTAGATGTACAATAAATGTTTGAAATTCCAAGCACTAAGGTTTTGCTTATGCTAACGTTCCCAGGAAAACATAACTTTATGGAGTTTGTAATCATGCCCCCCCCCCTCTCCCCCCTCGATTGCCAGCATAAATTTAATCTCATGTTTATTAGTTGTATTGACGGTATTTCAATAGATAAACTGCATGCGGAATGCCGAAAACTTCTGTGAAAATTTTCTTATTTTTAGCATCATCGCGGTGCTAAATGCGATCAGCCAGTTGACGAGTGCATGTCGATACCTTGCGATAATAGCGGTGTCTGTGAGTCCACAAATGACGGTTTCAAATGCCATTGTCGAAAGTACTATCTGGGTAAGTTTTTCGAGTTTTTCAAAGTCATCTATATCAAAAGGTTGTGTCTAGGTGATCGCTGTGAGACCCTGGGCTCCTGCCTCAGTAATCCTTGTGAACGAGGCGAATGCTTGCAACTTTCACAAAACAACCATTCGTGTAGCTGTCCAAAAGGCTATGAAGGGAAAAAATGCGAGGTACGGTAGTACTCTTTCAGTTAATAACAGTGAAACAACGTAGTTAGTGCTTTAGATACGAATCGATTACTGTAAGGAAGATCCATGCT